TGCTTCCCTCTTTTTGGGGGGGCCTACAGCTCAACATAGAGGTGAAATCCTTGGTTTGTTTTTAAAGATCTAGACGCACTGCCTTCCAGTTGTGCTGGTTTTTACATTTCAAATATTAGGCCAGGGAAATGGTAAACATTTTCTTTGCCCTATTCATTAAAGGGATCCACCCTGAGTCAGTAACCTAATCAAGAAATAAACTAAGTTGAAAGACCCTCTATCTAACCAGATTGCTGGCATTTAGCTGGGCAGTTTGACACTCTTCATAGAAAAAATGTGTATCTTTAAGGAAATCTCCATTTACAAGGGTACCTCCCTGCACAGGAGCCACTAGAAACTGTTTACAATAAGAAACATTTATACACCAAATATACACCTAACATTTATACACCAAATCTTACCTTTGTTTAGGATACCTTTCCTGACAATCTTGTCTTGAGTGGGCCTTCATTCATGCCATTTTTGTTTCAGTAAATAATGGTGTTTAGGTCTAAGTTCTGTGCCTTGGAGATATAAACTTTCACCTGAGACATCCCTTTGAAAGTGTAAATTTAGGGTTGCTTAACTAACAATTGCCTAGACCAATGGAATAGGCAATCAAGGGATTGATAGTTTAAAGGGGGAAGAAAATTATTTAAAATCTGGCAAATAAAATGTGTATAAAGCTATACAATTCTATCGATGTGTCTGAATGTCTGTATGTCTATATTTGTCATGTTTATGTGATATTTCACTATCAGAATATATAAAATTTCTATTTCATTGACTTAAGGAAAACGAAACTGCTTCAATAAAAATATTTTAACAGAAAAAATAGAAATTAACTCAAATGCCTTTAGTTCTCATGACTTGGATAAAACATTAGTAAATAGCTAGTTTAATATTATGGGTTTAATGAAAACAGCTGTGTTTTCTGATCAGCAAAATAAACATGTGTTTAACTTTGGAGCTCTTTTTTACATGATAAATGCCTAACATTGTGAGCTACAGAAGTGATTAACAAAGAAATAACTTGAGATGATGCCTGACTTTGTTTAATGAACTATTCAATCATAATTGTTGAGAATGAGCAGATTAAATAAATGTAAATGGAACGAAAGTTTATAAACAAAATGTTCATAGTTTCAAAAATCTTTTTTCAGAAACTTAAAGTTGTATTACATTAAATTAATAGGTAATTGTAAAATACTTGAGTCATTTATATGATATAGAAAAACTAAATATATTTAGACCTGTCAATAAGAAAAAGTTATGAAATAGTTTTCATCTATAAGCACTGGTATAAGACAGTTCGAAATTTACTTTTTAGGTTTTTCATCGAAAATTAGGTTCACTCATGTTACTGGTGGAAGGAATCAAGGTTACCAGTGGTGAATCCGTAAGTGTCTACAGCAATCTCAGTTTTTGCCTCCTCAGAAGAAAGAATTCAACTAAGTGGCATACAGCAGAAAGGGACTGAGGCAAGTTTCAGAGCAAGAGTGGATGTTTGTATAGAAAGGCTTTAGAACAGAAGAAAAAGAAGATTCACTTGTAAGAAACCCAAGTGGGCACCTGAAGGTCAAGTGTGGTGTTTAGGCTTGATCCTAAGACTTTATAGGCTGACCTCTTTGCCATGATGCTTTCCTTGTGGGGGCTGCCCACAACCGCGGTGCTGTCTTTACCCTTAAAAGGTGAGCATGCGCAGTGTGTTTAGGATGTTGTATGCGTCCCCACCTAAGGGTTTCCTCCCTTTTCCAATGGTGTGCCTCCAGAAGGTCATACTTCACCATTTTGTCTCTTAATGTGCATGCCCAGGAAGTTGCTTCTTCCTGGCACCTGCATTCAATTAAATAACACTTCAGTGCTACAGGCTTGGCCATTAGGAAATGGCCTCTCTCTGGTGCTTTTTATCACTTTTATTTTATTTTATTTTATATATTTATCATTTTTAGAGAGGCAATGTGATAATTGTTAATCACCCAATGTTCCTAGTGGGTGGGGGAAAGCCCTCTCCTGCCCCACACATGCCTGTCTAACTACCTGTAGCGCTAAGAGTCAATATTATAGCTAATATGTATAATTAAAACTACTTGATATAAGAAGAATCTCTATTATATAGCATATAAAGGAAGTAAGATGTAAAGAAAGTTGAAAAGAGAAAGCGATTTTATTCTTTTACATGACTGAGAACTTTGTGGTCAAAACAATGAGGAAGAGAGGAAAGCACATTTTTGTAGCATCCCAATACAAAAAGAGAAAGTATCGGGCAAAACTGGAGATTTAAGCAAGCTGTAGGCTTGTGAAAGACGAGTCTTGTGAAAAGAATATTGTATGTGATCAAGTTGGCTAAAATTATAAGGGAATTAGTTTAAGTTTTTCTAAAGATTGAGCATTAATATCAAGAACACACGGATGCAAGGCCCGGGTCTGGGCTTCTGTGTTGAACAACAGAGTTTTCTCTAGAATATTAATAGAAAAGTATAAATAATTACAAAATGTTTATGGAAAGCTTATCTTGTGTGGTCAAAGCTGATTGAGACTAGATGGATTTGTTTATAAGGCTTTATTAAAATTAGCTTTAGCATTAGTAATATACTGACACAAATGTAGAATATGATTTCCTCTTTTGAACAAGATTTTCGTGTGGTATTAATAGGGAGAGTAAAAGGCTTTTGTTCGACTTTTGAGTAAACTGCAAAAAAAGATCTTTATTAGGTCTTTTGATTGTTTAGGTCTTTTGATTATTTAGAAAACTGAGTCTTCTCTCTCAAAGTGTAAAGTTTGTCTGAAATTTTTTAATTATCACTTTGGTCAAATGAATGTTATTTACAGTGAACTGTGATCGTAATTCGATAAAGTGTTTTAAACCTTTAATATTTGATGTACTTCCCAAATTTCAAATTTTAAAATTAAATCTTTTCCAAAAGTAACCTCTGGAAACCTAAGAAAGATATATTTGGCTTATTTGGTATGTTAAAATTATATGAGAAGCATTGTCAAATGTCAAATAAATAACGGAGTTTAATTTTTTGTTATGATTTTCTGATTATGTTATTATCCTGATATATCTTGATATATGATATCAAGCATAATTATGATTTATCCTCAGTAAAAATGGGGAAATGGGAGAGAAAAATTGTGTTTCAGAAGAAAAGTATAGTATGCCTGTTATCAGATTCTATCTTGTCCATTGTTTTTGAATTTTTATTGTTTTCCTACAATTTGGACTAAATCCTGAATTCTTTCTTGGCTGCAAGTCTTCAAGCTAATGCTTTTGGATTTTTCTCCCATTTTTCTCATTTGGAATCAGTAGAATTTAAAACTGTTTTTCTTGACGTCCTGCAAACTGAAGTTAAACAACTTGATATAAACTTCAAGAAGAGTGAGCACAGTAACTCACATGTACACAGCCTCTGCGCCTGCTGATGTGTGGACTGCTCAGGAAGTTCACATGAACACATAATTCCAACTATAATAGAGGAAAATCTGTAAGATCGCCACTACAATCTGAAGATATTTCTGTGATTCTAGAAATGGACTACTCCAGACATTAAGAAATACCTTTGTTTTTCTTTTGTTTCCATAGAAATGCCTCTTATTTAAAGACCAGCTTGCCTGCATCACATGTAGAGGCCCAGCCTTGCTGTAGTGCCACCTCCTAGAATGGACACAGCTGTTCGACTGAACGCTTCTGTTCTTAGGACTGACACTGATTAAAGAAGATATAGGACAATATATGTATTTATTTTTCTTTTCTGCCTGTCCCAATTTTTCCCCCTTCTTTGCCTGTTTCTTATCTAACAACCTCTAATCTAAATCTCTCCATAATGACTGATTCAGCTGTTGATAGGTGAAATTTCTAGGGAAGTTCCAAACAGGATTGAAGGAGTGCAGGGAACTTTGCCCCAAAATACAGCTCTCTGGTATAATGAGTATATTTTGGATTAAAGTCCCTTAAGATCAACAGAAGCTGCAAGGGGCCTCTCCCCTGTCTACATGAAAACCCTGCAGATCCACAGAAGAGAACAATTACTTTTTCCTTCCCTTCCCTGTTTTCTAATTATCTATTGCACAAAAGAAGATCAAGACATGAACACACCTGAACAGACTCTTTCAAAAAAAATAGTCCATTTCTCAGGCTTAAAGAGAACTATTTATTAATTAATCTTTGTTTCTTGACCGATTCATTCTCCTTAATAATCATTTATTGTCCCTCAACAGAATTGCCTACACTCTACCTTCCACCCTCCTCTCTGAAATAAGACTATAAGTATCTGCGCCTCGTGGGATCTTGGGTAGTCACCTTATTTTCCCCTGTGTACACGTTAATAAATTTGCATGCATTTCTCTTAGTAACCTGCATTGTACACTTAAAAAGTATAAAAGAGTGAAATTTCTGTTATGAATATTTTTTTCACAATAAAACAATATTTTGACAAACAGATAAAAAATTCTTTGTAGTTTATTTCAAGTGAGGAATTACCAACTACTTAACAGGGTGCTTAGAATGGGGGATTATACCAGATAAATGACATGCCTTTTACAATTTACAATTGCTGTTATTTACTGAGTCTCCACTTTCTCTCCCAGCTCCTGCACTAAGCATTTTACATACACTAGTTCTAATCCTTAAAAAAAGAAAAAAAGAAAAAAAAAAAAAAGAGAGAGAGGGAAAAGGAAAAAAAATAAGAACATGTAAGGCTACTGGGAGACTGCCGGCCGCTGCACCGTCTTAAGGCCACTCAGGACAAGGCCAGTCCCCAGTTTGTTTCACTGTGAGGTGGCTGCGCTGTCAGAGCCCAGACACGGTCACCAGACTTCCAGACATGGATTCAGCTCCACATCGTGTCACACCGGGTAAAGGATGTACATCTCTGCGTGCCTGGGTTTGTCACCTGGCAGCATGGATGCTCAGGGACTGACCCATCAGGACTGCAGCAAATGAACAGAAGCTGGGGGAGCTCGAGGGCTGGTGCTGTGCAGAGCTCTGGTGCAGAACGCGCTCACCAGGGGTGCCCAGAGCCGGGGTCTGTGCGCCGCGGGCTGGGTCCGGGTCACAGGCGCTGGGTGGAGAGAGTGAGAAGACACAGTGAGGATGTCCTCCTTAGATGCTCTCCAAAGGCCTTCCTCCCGTTGGTTGGGACGACTCCCTGGAAAGGGGGTCCTGAGGCCGCTCCAGGACTCAGCCTCAGACTACTCCGAGGAACGCGAGCCCAGGAGGTCTCCGGAGGGCCTCGGGGGTGGGGGGACTAGGGGGGCCTCGGGAGGGCTACGAGTGGGGGTGGGAGGTAGGGAGGCGGGGAGGGGGCCTCGGGAGGGCCGCAGGTGGGAAGGGGGAGAAGGGAGGAGGGGAAGGAGGGAGGGGGCCTCCGAAGGGCCGCAGGTGGGAAGGAGGAGAAGGTGGGAAGAGGGAGAAGGAGGGAGGAGGCCTCGGGAGCCTCTGGAGCCCGCTGAAGGCAGGCGCTACGCTGAGGAGATGGCGCAGGCCCGGGGCAGGTCTCCTTGGGCTCCTTTCTAGGCCTTCGGAAGCTCGGTGTTGGTTTCTTTGTACGCATATCACACTTCACTTAACTGTATTCCTTTCTCTCTCCTTTCCTCCCCCCGCAGCTCTAAGTGCCCTGCAGCTTGCATGGAGGCAACAGGGACCTCCTTTTGCACTGTCTGCGGAGACCCCTGTTCCAGCCCCGAGGGGACCAGGGGACGCCGCGCTGTGGGGAAAGCCGGGGTGACAGGAGGGGGCGGGCTCCTGCAGGACTTGCTGGGGTGCGCTGCTGTGGCTGCTGAGAAAGGTTCGGAGGGCGCAGCCCGCCCCTTCCCCAGAGCTGCGAGGGAGCCCCGCGGGGAGGACGGGCAGGGTCTGGAGGGAAGAACAGGGGAGCCTGGGTCTCAGGGCTGCGGGGAGCAGAGGCCTCTGGGTGGTGAACGCCCCCAGCCTGCCCTCCCTGCTCACGGCAGGGTCGCGCACCCACCCTGCTCCGGGCCTCCAGGCGGTTTCCTTTCTGCTGGGTAGATTCTGTGCGACTTCATTTATTCAGAATCTGGATCAACAAATGAACACTCAGGGAGGAACGGGGTGTTGGGAGGGGTGGGCAGGTAGAGAGATGTCCAAGCAGGGGGCCACCTGAGGGCCCCCTGAAGGGGACTGAAACCAGGTTTCCAGCTCGGCCACCCCTTCCTTTCTTTTTCTTTTTTTTAAAGAAATATAAACAAAGAACTTGAATTATTTTGAAATAACTATTGGTAGCTGGACTGTGTTCTCTTGACCACAGCGTTGCTCTGGGAATGAACCGCGTGGGTCTCTGCTCTTCCTAAGTGTTACATAAGAATAGCGAACCCATGAGGTCAGCTTCTAAACCAGTGTCTTCCCATAACCTCCTGGACCACGTCCCAAGCAAGGCCGAGACGAGTTCAAGGTCCCACTCTCCCGGGACACGCCTCACTCTGTAGTTGGCAGGAGGTGATGATTGTTGCACAGTAATTGAGGGCTGTTCATGTTTGTGAAGAAAAGCCAAGTACAGGCCCGTATTCTAGAGGATTGCTTGTGGCAGGCAGAAGGCCATCAGAGGCAAACCGAAACAAATGAAAAGGTGCCTTTCAAAGCTAATGGAGCAGATCAAATTAGTCAAAAATCGATAAACGACGGCATTTGGATCAGACCTTCAACTTCTTCGTTTTAACCTGACAGCCCTGAGAGGGTATGGAAGCTTCTCACCTCCTCCTATGTATTGCCCCAGGTCTCTTCCTTTTGTAACATCCTTTATAGTAAATGTACGGAGGCCTTTCCCTGAGCTCTGTGAACTGCTCTAGCAAATTAATAGTCTGAGGGTGTGTCCTGGGAACATTGATTAGAGGGTATGCCAGAGGTTCGGAAGCACACGTAAGACCACCTTGCCATTAGCATTGGAAGTGAGGGACAGGCTTGGAACGTGAGGCTTTGGCTTGTGGGGTGTGAGGCCACCTCCAGGTAGAAGGTGTCAATGTAGGAATCCTCCGCTGTAATACTGTCTGCTTGCTTGCGGTGGGTCAAAAACCCACACATTTGGTCACAGAAGTCTTCTGTGTTGATTGTTGTTGAGTGAGAGAAAAAAAGTCCTTTGGTTTGTTTTGATATTTTCAGAAAGGCTGTAATCAGCTCCTGGGCAATGCATCATAATACCTCCACCTCGGTACACTCCCCACTTGCCATTTCTGAAAGGATGTCTCTGTGGAGCCGGGGAGCAAGGCAGGGCTGTGTCATATCAGTCCTCTCAGCCTGGTCCCCACCAGGACCTGTCGGCCTGGTGTGAAAACGCATTTTATTGTCCTCTGTCACCTTCCAGAGCCAGACACGTGACCAGAACACTCATGCCACACATACACGCACACAATACACGTGCATACACATGCACCACACATGCATATGCACACACACCACACCATCCCACCCACATTACATAAGATATACACAAGACACACCACACCGCACCATAATCACACATGCTAAACATACCACATCATCCACAAATGCACCTACACATGCTACACACCATGCCACACCATGTGTGCTACTGCATGTTAACACCATACACACACACCTGACACATTACACATATCACACACACCAGATATACTACACAATCCACACAAATATCCCCACACACACAATATACATACACTTGCCACACACACACCACTCCACATATGCACACAATAGCATGTACGCTATGCACAAGTGCACGACACACCACCTACACACACACATGCCACTCATACTACGCTGGGCACACCACACACACATCACAGGCACACAACTGCTTACACAAATGCCACATTATACTTCCACATACTGCATCCAAATCACACGAACACACACACTGTGCACATAGACAACATACCACACATCCACACACACTGCATACACACACCACATACATAGACACAAGCCACATACACCCCACAAAGTACACATTCCTACACCCAGCTCATACCAGCAACACTACAAACATGTTTTCACATGTGCGTATCACATACTTATGAAAACAAATAGCTGTCATAAACAGCACAGTTCAAACCTGGGTCAATTAAAAGAGCAAAACAGTTCTAAAAGAACCACAGTATTCCAACATGTTCACTTCCTTTCCTCCCACACAATAGTCGTTTTTATTGTCATGTGCTTCACTCATCATTTTCTTTCCTTGAATAGGATCTCTGTGGCATCGACAAAGCCACACTGAACTAATGTCCTCCAGAAAAGGGTGAATCCAAACTTCTCCCTGATACCTCTCCGGCTGTGGGGTATCCCCATCTGGTATGAGAAGGCAGGAAGAGGGAGAGAAGTACACGATCTTCCTCTTCCAAAACTGTGTTTCATGGGAACCATTTCATGTTTTATAATTGTAGCAAAATATAAGTTTAAGGCTTGTGTGTCTGCTGTGTTTGGATTTGTAAAACTGAAAAGTAATCATTGGAAAATATATCTCATATCCACTATCCAAATATTTCCAAATATATCCAACATCCAATATATTTGGAAATGTATCCAAATATATTCACTAGAAATTGGATAAATAATTTGCCAAATGCTGAACAAACAAAAGGGAAAAAATATTACTGATAAATCCACTGAAAAAAAGGAAGATAAAATCAGAAATACTGGAAATATGATAAATGTAACAAATATAATGAGACTATTACTGAATGTATTGGTTATCAGGATACATCCAAAAATAAGTGGACTAAACTCCCCTATCCAAAGGCTAAGTACCTGGAGTGCTTCAAACAGCAAAACCTGATCCATCTAAAGTAAAATGAAGCAGAGAGTTTGATATGTTGACACTTAGGAGGTAAGCAAGTATCTAGCAGATAAATTCAGATATAGACAAAGCAAGAGAGGGAACATTCATATCAAATACAGAAAGAAAGGCTAAAAATAGTCAATGAGGCAAAAATGATCATTTTATCGATAAAATATTCAATCCACAATGAAGACATTGAAGTAATGAACTTCATTGACTAGCATTGTATTTCATGAACTAGTATTGCATTTCAAATATTAGTCTCAGAGGAGATAATGTGAAAAAATAAACAGGAAACTTGGATAAAATTGTTTGATATTAAAAAGTTCTAACACATTGTATAGAATTTTGTGGATTAACGAGATAAAACAGGACATAGAAGGCATGAATAATAAAATTAACAAACTTGACATACTAGCTACATAGAAAACATTGTAAGCCACAAAGAGTTAAAGCACATTCTTTTAAAATTGTAATGTATTAACTGAATATTTGTAAATATTGATCATGAATTCGGCCTAACAAAATCTATTCTAAATAAGGTAGAAATTCTACAAGTACAAGTAGTAAATAATGACAAAAGAATTTTAATTTTTAACCACATAGAACTGTAAAACTACTTTTTTTGATCAAACGACTCCAATCTCAAGGAGGGAAAGCTTTTGTCAAATGCAAATTACTTCCCACCTTCCTTCAGATCCCTTATAAGTAATCCAGGTCATAGGTGATTTTTATCATACCTTGATGGAAATAGTTCAATATCATGCGCTTTTAAATTTCCCAAAGCATAGAAAGTGTAGAAATTGTCTGAAACTGATTACATAAGGCTAGCATCACATTTAAGCCCAAACTCAACAAAGAGCAAAGAAAAGCATCTTTAGAACAATTGCACTTATGAGTATAGATATAACACTTCTCAGAAAATCCAGGAATAAATTCAAAAAATAGTATACCATGAACTACTCAGCTTTATTCCTAGGAATATGGAAATAATTTATTAGCATGACATATGTTAATATAATTTATAACAATAATTGGTTAAAGGAGAAAATCCAAGTAATCATTTCACAGATTACTTCAGTGGCAGATCATACAATTCAACAACCGCTCCTAACTGTGTTTTCCTCACATCATGGAGGGTATTGGTCAGAAGAGCTCAGCCAGCATTATACTGAGTGCTGAAGCACAGGCAGGAGAGATCCACAGTCAGGGTGGGAATAAAATGAGGATGTCCACTCTCACCCAGCATGATGTCTCAGCATTGCCATGCAGCCCCGTTCTAGGAACTCGAAGGAGAAAAGAGAGATATGTAAATTATATAAATACAGGAAAGAAAGAAACAAAATGTTTGCTGTATTTAGATTACAAGGCTATTCTAATTCTCTGCAAAGTAATCCATAAATATAGCATAGTGTCAGTCAACATCCCAACAGCATGCATTCTAAAAATCTTCTGGAAGAATGATTGAACTAGCAATACAAATGCTGATAACAAGGAGAGGTGCCAAGGGGTTTCCCCGCCAGGTTTCGCATTCTCATGATGTCACAATGCCTTCCGCTGTGTGGGCACACACGACTACCTACACATGTAAAGGTGTCTCTTTAAATCTCCAGGAAAGGGACAGACTGGGGGGGAATGCATTGTGACAACCTACTAACCATCTTAGGGGGAAAATAGTGTTACATTCCTACCTCATACCTCACACCAAAATGAATTACAGATGGGCTAAATATTTTAATATTTTTTTAAAAGAATATAAGAGCAAAAAAAGAAAACATTTAGTGAAAATTGTATGAATATCTTGAGTGTGAAAGCACTTTCTAAGCAGGCAACCAAAATATGAAGTAATATAAGGACAAGACTAATAGATGCTAATATATAAAAATTAAAATGTGCTGTGAAATGAAACAAAAACCTGCCATGTACAAAATTAAGAGATAAGAGAAACCGGAAGGAAAGGTGGACAGGAAGGAAACTGCCAAACATATGTAAAAGAATTAAAATTGCTATTACCTAAAAAGGTCTTATAAAACTGTTAGAACAAGACACACACACTGACTTTTAGAAGCAGAGAGATAAAACAAACAGGCAATTCAAATAAAATGAAATGCAAATGACCAATAAATTTGAAAAAGTCCCAGTGAGATATAATTTATAGCCCCAAACCAGCCTAGATTAATTCGAATGTTAAGGGTGCAAAAAGATTATGGATATTCTTGCCCATAAACTGCTGCTGGGGATAGAGTCACCACCAACCTCCAGGACAATGGGCAGGAATTGGAAATACATACTCCCCAACTCTACCATAGGAACTGCAGCCTCAGGAACCTGTTCTAAAGAAAGAATTCCAAAGTGCATAGGTATGTGATCAGGCAGTTCTCACGATGCTTTCATTTTTAACTAAAAAAAGCAAAGTTTTAAATAGCTATCAATATGGGATTAAAGAAAACTCGTAACTCTGTTCTATAAAATATTATTTAAAAATTTACATATGACACAAAGCCATGTTTACGAACATAGAAATCTATCCATCTTAACTACTAAATAAGGAAATCTGAATAAAGAGCAGTATGGATGATATAATTAAAAAGTAGGGTGTGTGGGTCTGTCTGTCTAGAATAAAGCATGACCCCAAATATTACCAATGATTAAATTATGGCATGACCCTATTGACATAAGGTCATTCATGCAATGTCAATTCAGAAGGCAAGTTGGACACAGAATATAATGTCTAGCTACCACCACTCTCAATTTGTCTCTCTATATAATATGGATTTTTAAACTGTAAGAAAAATGATTAAAATAGTAACTGAAATTTTCTCTGGATGGAAAGATTCAGAAAAAAACATTATTTTCACCATCTAAATTTGCTGATAACACCTCAATTTTCTGTGGAAGGCATATTAGTTTGCTAGGGCTACCATAGCAAAATACCACAGACTGGGGGCTGTAACAACAAAATTTTCTTCTCTCACAGCTGTGGAGGCCGGAAGTCTGAGCTCAGGGTGCTGGCGGGGTTGACTTCCCCTGAAGCCTCTCTCCTTGGCTTGCAGATGCTGCCTTCTCTGTGTGTCTTCACGTGGTCTTCCCTCTGTGTGTGTCTGTGTCCTCATCTTCTTAGAAGGACACCAGTCAAATTGGATCAGGGCCCACCCTAATGGCCTCATTTAACTTAATAACTTCTATCTCCAAATACAGTCACATTCTGAGGTGCTAGGGGTTAGGGCTTTTCCATATGAATTTGGGGGTAGGGAGGCCCAATTCAGCTCATAACGTTTGGCATGCGCTAATTCTACAATCTGAGGAAAATGTTAAAAGCAGAAGAAGAGAGGGAGTAGAGGGTCAAGGCATGTCCTTGCTGCCACCAGCACACAACCATGCCCCACTGCAGAACCATGGCCTGGGTGGTGCTAAAGGACAGTCCAGGACAGCACGGTCCCAGAATGAAGAGCACAGGCTGGCTGCCTGGGCCTGCCCCGTGGCGTGCACCAGGCCTTGCTAACACGCTTACCCACTACTGGCACAGTTCTGGTGGCCTGCACCAGGAATGTGTCTGCCCAGAGGACTGGCCCCCCACCTTTTGAAGCTTTTCCCAGAAGAGCCCTGGCACCTGGGAGAGACTTCCTAAACCATTCTTCATAACAATCCAACAATAGGGGGCCGACCTCTTAGAGATGTGCATGTTCAGGGTAAAGTCTTTCAGGGGAGAGCAAAATGTGTTGTTAATCCATCCTCAAAGATGTTTTTCTGTGCCATGCTACACACCTGGGCATTGAAATTGCTCACTGACATGTTCTGGTTACAGGCTCTGCTAATATTGCTGGAGTTTTTTAAAGTCATTTATCTCTCCTGGAGACATGAATGAGGTCCACCAACTCTGGAGTGGCCATGGGCAGCATCTCTCCTGCGGAGAGGCTGGAATGCTGAGAGGCTATTTGCAGGCCCGTCTGCTTCCCTGCACCCCACTTCCTCCCCTGTAGGTGATGTGCGTGTGCCTGACCTGACCTCTAGCTACAAGAAAGAAGGCCAGGGTCTTGCAGCTTTCTGGGGTTCCTGGCGGATTCCTGGTGTTGGGTAAAATCAGGGCATTCAGCCCTGCCAGAAGTGAAGAGAGTAAGTGAAGTGGAGATGAGGATGGGCCTGAATGAACATGTCCAGGAGCAGAGTTCCCAGCCTTCCCACGGTGTTTCCATGGTGCCTGATATAAGAGAAAGCATGGCATTTTAACTGGATGCTGTGAGTCTTATGTTTGTATCATTCCCCAAGAGACTCTGAGCTCCTTGACGGCAAGGGCCATTAAGACCCAGTACAGTAGTTCCCTCATCTTTTGAGCTCAAAAAAATGTCCATTGAATGAATGAATGAATACATGCATAACAACATAAAGAAATAAATCGAGGTGCTTTTAGATGTGGCTGTCACAATGCAAATCAATTATGATTGCCCATGTTATTACTACAGCTTACCTCACCAGATAGTCATCTGGCTACTTTTTGCTTCAGCAGAAGATGCCTAATTGCTGGAAACTAAATGACTCAGCATCTCACCAGCCTTAGTGACAGACATGCCCTCAGGCTGCAGCCTTGGCTCTGCTCCCTGGAATTACATGTGGTCAATGGTTCTGATTCACAGAAGCTGGTTTACCGACTTATCTGTCCTTCTTGATTTGAGATGTAGCTGACCTCACTGCCCGTCATCACTAGAGTTAAAATCCCTGTGGCCATAGTCTGATCAGTCATGATGGTCATGATGATGCCAGGAATTTGAGTGTGTGTGATCATTTGCATTCTATCATAGAGAAAGCACAGCTGATCGCCACATCACTCACAGCACCTGCTTCCCGCTTTCCTGGACCTAATTAATCTCCTTGTGTCAGAAATTTGTTGGCTCTGAGCCGACTCCAGGGGAGAATGGTGCCAGCTCAGTCCACCAGGCAGGGCTGGGAGCCAGGAGCCAGCACAGGGGATGCAAGGCCTGGACAGCGAAAGGAGGGAGAGGAGCAGAAAGCCAGGAATGTTCCTAGGCTCTAGGGCAGACTAGAAAGTGTCAAAGGGTAATTCTTGAGAAAAGAACCATTCCAAGATTTTTTAACAGCTCCAGTAAGGAAATAATAAGGTCTGTGCTGAAGGAGGTCATGACAATGTTGATATCTAAGGAAGGATTTCAGGAAAACCTTTGGGGACAATGAGAAGTGGGGGACATGTTGCTGCAGAGGTGTTCAGGGCTCTTGTCTGAAGGCACCATAGACTCTTCTGGATCAGGGCACTCAATGCTCTGTACACAATGTAGTAATTCAAAAAGTCCTTTTAATACAGCATACAGCACACAGCACACAGCAGGACAAGCTATTCATTGTATGACACATGGCTGCTTGGCATCATTCCAGCTTTCTGTATTACCTTCACCAAATAAATTAAAAATTAAGAAATAGAGATATTTTAGATAATCAAGTGTTATTTTCCCTGCCCCCACCCCCATCTCTTCATTCCTGGAAAAGCCACAGCCCAGGTGTCTCTGCGCTGGGAGCTGAGAGTATTTCTGAGGAGGTGGTAGAAGAGAACTAATGGGATTATCCGCCAGAATGATCATTTGCAAAGAGTAGCTCATGGTTGCTGGAAAGGCTTCCACTGCCATCACCACTGACCACAATCATTTGCTCTATTTGGTGAAATGATTTTAATAAGTTATCTGAAACCAAGTGTAATTAAGTAAGTTATGCCAGTCAAGGAGCTCTGCCCAGGTGGGCCTTAAAATGGCTCACTTAGAGGGGATAGGAAGATGCATCCCACCAGAATTATGATGTGACTTTAGGCACGCTGTTAACCTCAAGTTGTTGAATCTCCCGAGTCTTGGTTCTTCATGTGTGAAATTAGAAAACAAGGCAGTTGTCAGGGTGCAAGGAACTAAGAGCTGTAAATCCCTTAGCATGGTGTCTTGTCACATGTGGGGGTGCTCAGTTAGGTCAGCTGCTGTTGTCATCATTATTACTGCTGACATTAAATTGTTATGCTTTGAACAAAGTAGTAATAGAAAGTGTCATGTTCCTAGGTTAAAATTTCCCATTAGGAAGATTAGAATCCAAAAAGAGAGATATCCCATCAAAGAAAAGCCCCAGAAACTGTTGAAATCACTGCTGAATTCTACCAAACATTTAAGAAGAATAAATACCAATCTTACTTAAACCCTTCAAAAAATTGGTAAGGAGGGCATACTTCCAAGCTTATTCTAAGAGGCCAGCATTACTCTGATACCAACGCTAAACAAAGATACAACAACAACAACAACAA